ATGTGTGAGACGCTGCATGTGTGAGACGCTGCATGTGTGAGACGCTGCATGTGTGAGACGCTGCATGTGTGAGACTGCATGTGTGAGACTCTGTGAGACGCTGCATGTGTGAGACTGTGAGACGCTGCGTGTGTGAGACGCTGCGTGTGTGAGACGCTGCGTGTGAGACGCTGCGTGAGACGCTGCGTGTGAGACGCTGCGTGTGAGACGCTGCGTGTGAGACGCTGCGTGTGAGACGCTGCGTGTGAGACGCTGCGTGTGAGAGACGCTGCGTGTGTGAGACGCTGCGTGTGTGAGACGCTGCGTGTGTGAGACGCTGCGTGTGTGAGACGCTGCGTGTGTGAGACGCTGCGTGTGTGAGACGCTGTGTGTGTGTGTGTACCTGCACATGTACAAAAACATGAACAACACGTGTGAGCTGACAAACACGCATTGACAGCCAGTGACCGAAGACCCCAGTCATCCTAGCCGTGGAGTTTTCACCCTTCTCAAGTCTGGCATCTAATCTCACAGCTTTTTGTCTCAAGCTGGCGAGCTGCATAGAAGCTTCTAGCCTCGTGCTATCAGACTGTTAAACACCTTAAGTTCTAGTTGGAATCCTTCATGCACTAAAACTGATCTACAGCCAGCTCCCTCCCATTTGCACTAAGCCTAGTATTGCACGATTCTACTTTGGCACATTGTTATTATGGCTTGGATATGTTTACTACGCCTACTTATCCCCTATTTGCAATCTATTATTATTCTTACTTATATTGTTGCTTTTTAACTGTCTTTTAATTCCACAGAATTTTGAGGTAGGCCCCCATGATGATGATTATTAATAATAATAATAATAATAATAATAATGATAATGATGATGATGATGATATAAGGATGCTTTACAATACAGTCGGATACAATGCGATACAATAAAGTAACAGCAAAAGCAAAACGACAGCGAGCGTGTTATGTACTGGCAGACACATCATAGCATTCCTGAAATAAATGAGTTTTCAACAGCATGAAGATGCTAACAGACTGAACCTCTTGCAGACTGTGAGGAAGTGCATTCCAGAGTGTAGGTGCTGTCACACAGAACGTCCTGCCACCCAGAGAGCATAATCTGAATTTAGGTATAGTAAGAAGGTTAGAGCCCGAAGATCTTAGTGTGCGGGCTGGAGTGTATGGGAGAAGGTGGTCAGGCAGAAATTAAGGGTCAAAGCTGTAATATTGCACCCGCCCCCCCGGCAAAAAAACGGAATAGTGATGTTCTCTAAAATACCCTTAAAACCCCGTATACCATGGTATAATGTATAAAGATATGACAGTATGAAAAACGGGATATTGCCAAAGCCTACAAAGAACTTCATCGCTCTAAAATGAAGACCTTTGGAGGGACTGATAGCAGCGGCCGTATCTGTTTACTACAGCGTGCGTGCGTGCTTGTTTGTTTGTTTGTTTGTTTGTTTACGGTGTCCGTTCGCGTGTCCACAGGGTAGATGTTGACTCCAGTGACGAGAGCGACATGGAGGACGATCTGGAGCAGCCAGCCGTGGTGAAGACCAAACACCACGACCTGATGATGAAGGGGGAGGGCAGTCGCAAGGGCAGCTTCTTCAAACAGGCCAAGAAGTCTTACCCCATGTTCCCGGTGCACGAGGAACGGATCAAGTGGGACGAGTACGGAGAGATCATTAGGTATAGCGAAGACCGAGGGTCCGGTGCATCGTTCTGCCGCGTCGGAGTGGAAGCAGAGCCCCGTGCTCATGCTCCCTCGTCTCGATCGCTCTGTCCTCAGACCAGAAGATTTCCTGGTGCCCGAACTCCAAGCCACCGAGGAGGAGAAGAACAAGCTGGAGTCGGGAATGGCGAACGGAGACGAGCCCATGGACCAGGACCTCTCTGACGTGCCCACCAAGTGCACATCTACCACAGAGACGATAGAGATCAAGTGAGTGTTTGCCCTTCGACAGCTAGGAGAGCGAGCAGACCCTACCATTCCACATTAAGGGACATTAAATACTGCTCTGTTTCATGGGATGAAACCGTTAACTAGTGCATTTAAAGTTAAAGGACAACCTAGAGTTTGGCAATGCTGTCACCACACAACTAGTTAATAGGATGTTACATACTCTTTCCATGTCATGTTTTATAATTTTATGGCTGTTCACTCAACTTTCCTGTACTTAAGAATTAAAAAAAAAATCCACAGTTTATGAAATAAATGGGAAAAGTGGTTAAAAATCTGTGGTGTAGAAAAACTTTTGACTGGTAGTGTAGCTTCCATAGGAGGGTTTCATATGCACATTAAAGGATTCAGCATTTCGGGAGAGTGTGCATGTCTGGGAGCCAAACATCTGGTATTAATTTTACAGTAGTATATAAAAAAACATACATTTTCATCATTTTATTTAAATTTTATATGGTCTCATGATCTTCAAGGATCTTTCCAGTGACAGGAATTATGTCGATCATATATCTATTAGTATTGTAAATTTTTGCCATCACCTGTCTTCAGAGCCAGGGTCACCTATATCGACTATGAGGGCCGGTCAGACGGAGACTCCATAAAGAAGATCATCAACCAGATGAAGCCGCGGCAGCTGGTTATCGTGCATGGGCCACCCGAGGCCAGCCTGGACCTGGCCGAGTCCTGCAAGGTCTTCAGCGGCAAGGACATCAAGGCGTACACCCCCAAGCTGCAGGAGACCGTGGACGCCACCAGCGAGACTCACATCTACCAGGTGAGGTCCCCGGCCGGCGCTTGTGCCATCCTCGCGGAGATACTGGGGGTCGCAGCGTGTGCTATGGGCAGAGGGATGGACGACGTGTGTGCGTCACTGAAACTGGGGGGGGGGGCCCTGTCCGCAGGTGAGGCTGAAGGATTCGCTGGTGAGCTCGCTGCAGTTCTGCAAGGCCAAGGATATGGAGCTGGCCTGGATCGACGGCGTCCTGGACATGCGCGTCATCAAGGTGGACACGGGCGTGGTGGTGGAGGAAGGCGAGCTGAAGGACGAGGCCGAGGAGGGCGAGCTGCCCATGGAGGTGAGCGCGGAGTTGGGCAGCGACCACAACGCCGTGGCCCAGCAGCGCGCCATGAAGACCCTGTTCGGCGAGGATGAGAGGGAGGCCTCTGAGGAGAGCGACGTCATTCCTACCCTGGAGCCACTGCCGTCCAATGAGGTGAGATGGGGATTCCAAGAAGCCGGGGGAGGGGGATTCCACGTGAGCGTAAGCTCAAGGGTGTTTCCCATCTGCCACAGATCCCAGGACACCAGTCGGTGTTCATCAACGAGCCACGCCTGTCGGACTTCAAGCAGGTCCTTCTGCGAGAGGGGATCCAGGCGGAATTCGTCGGGGGGGTACTGGTCTGTAACAACATGGTTGCGGTTCGCAGGGTGAGTCCCGACTGATTCCTTCAACGGTGTCTCACAAGGTTACATAATGGCTTCATATCGGACACACTGGAAATAAAAAGCTTGCATTGTGCTAGAATTTACTTTGGCTTTAATTACACTTGGCATTGGATGTCCCTAGTTCACAGCATGTTTTAACCTTCCTCTGTGCTTGAGCGGCCCAGAACAAATTAGAAATGATAATCGATTCACATGCTAATGTGTGATGCCTTGATATTATTAGATCTAATCTTCTATACGGTGAAACTTGTGAGTAGCAAGTGAGTCTCGGGTCTCCGCCCACGGCAAAGAGCTCAGTCGTCCTGCTGGAAGGCGCCGGCTTTTCATTTGCACCTTGAATGATTCCTGGCTTCCTTGCTGCCGTTCAAAGCGGGCCCGCCATGAGTCAGTCCCTTTAGAGGGACGTTGGGCATGACTAATCCTGAGCACCGGGCGTCTTGTGCTCTCTTCCAGACTGAAGCCGGCCGGATCGGCTTGGAAGGCTGCCTCTGTGACGACTACTTCAAGATCCGGGACTTACTCTACCAGCAGTATGCCGTGGTGTAGGACCACGCCTCCAACCTCTTCTGCCCTTGTTTCATGGGAGCCAATCGGACAACGTCCAAGCTTTCGCTGTGGTCTCTAGTGCGTCTGTAAAAGGCTTCAGAATTCGGTTTCTTTTGTACCCACTTTTATCGTTCATTTTCCTAGCCATGGCCCCCCGAGGATTTCCTGCTGTGAACGCTGGGGACGACCCCGGTGGGTTTGCCCTCAAACTCAACCTTGAACTCGACACCTTCTCGTGGATTGTCGTTATTCCGTGCAGGGTGGATATGTCCTCTTGTTTTCTTTTATATAAAATACAAGTTAGAAAGATTCCGAAGGTGCAGAAGGTGTTTTGGAAGCCTGGACGGCAGGGTGGGAGTGAGAGTGGAATCAGTAGGCGCGCAGTGACGAAGCTCGCTCTGGCGTCCTTACCATTCACCGCGGGCACCCAAACACCAGATGGGGGCTGTTTACATTGTGTCCTGCATCACACACTATTCCAGTTTAATTTATGCCTTTTATCTGGTTGTAAAACACAGTCCTCTGTTTAGCATTTTATTAATTCCAGCTTAATTGTCACAGTATATGTGTGAGATCTTTTTTTTTTTTTTTTTTAAACCTGTCTGTTAAACAGCAATTTCTCCTAACCGTTTCCTCAGATGAGCTCTCATGTCACCTATCCAAACTTCTGTAGTTCTCCTGAATCTCACTACTTGGAGCCTGGGGACAGGTGACACTTGGCAGTGTTGTGAATGTTTGTGTCCAGTGGGCATCTGCAGAAGCGTGCATCAGGCATCCATTCCCTGTAGCTATTACACTGAGATCACCATGCTCATCAGACTGGTATCCGCTCATCCACAGACTTAACTGATCCTCCCATTATCGCTGGAACTAAGAGCCCGACAGAGGTTCTGCTCACATTTGGCCCCAAACGCAAACGGGAATGTAATTTTAATTCCACCGTAGGTTGAATACGTTTTCCAAGCGTGCTTTAGGGAACTATAGAAGAGCACTGCAGTTATAAACATGACCGTGTTCATGGTGTAATCCACAAACTGAAAACGACTCGAGTTAGCAGCTGAACTTTGGTAACCCCTCTCTGGTGAGGACAGAGGCACAGAGCGCACCACTCCTTCCCGCTTACAGCCTTCATTTGGTAATTGAGAAGGGGGGCCTGCAGTAGCCGTCACGTAATCCTCTTAGCTCACATAATGCTGACTCTCACCGAAGACCCATTTTATTGTAACGACTTGCTAAGCTGGGCACTGCGACCAATTGTTGTTCCTCTCATCTGCCCCCTGGTGGCAACATGGTACCAAAGGGAGTACCCCCCCCCCACTCTGGCCTCTGACTACTGAATCCTACTTTGCTGTACTGATGTTCCCATAAACCCATAACAGCTCGTGAAGAAAATGTCCCAGGCTCACATTTTATTATGGTTTGTCTCATGATTTAGTTGTGTCTAACAGGTAAGATTGTGTTGCCTGTCCTGTATAGTCAGATTTTGTCTGACTTATTCTCGTTTGAATTTCAGCTATACAGTACAGAAGATAAAAGCTTTTGAGAATGGATTTGGTAACTGTTGTGTGATATAAATGTAGGCGACCTAATTGATCAGCTTGAATTTGCTGTTGATGTCAAAGACACGAGTGGCTCATTCAGTGTTGCCCTCCAGCTGTTGATCGTCTTATCGTCCAGTGTGTTGCTGTAGCTCTCTGAGGGGGCCTGGCTGAGAAGGCTCAGGCTGGGCTGATGTACAGTGCAGGTGCAGTGAGAAGCCTCATCTGAACACCCAAGTTCTTACCCAACTGCGTCCCATTAAATGCGTTCTTAATTCCTACCATTTTATGGTGTAATCCCTACACCCTCAGCACGCCCTAACCGCTCCTGCTTGCAAACCAAATGCACAGTAGTGTAACTGGGAAGTTAGGGCCCTCTCTTTTAAACTGCATTGTTGCAGGTATTTACAGTAAGCCACACATCATGGTTAATGACTGAGATGTGTTACTGTGGGACTCTGCAGAGGCATTCTGGGGGATGACGGCCATTGGGGAGAAGCTGTTCTGGCAGTCCCAGCACCTCACAGACTGCTTTAGGGATGTGTAAGGATCTGTAGTAGGGGAAGGAGTGAAAATTATTACTTGTGCATGATTCATCTGCTGGGTTTTTTTATGCGTTATTCAGTTAGGGTCCCCTGGTAATCCAGAGAAGATTCCAGGAAGCATTATAAGGTAGGATACAACATGCTTGCGGTGCCAACCCATTAAATGATGTGCATACAAGGTTCATCGCTAAGAGAAGATTAGGGGCATGTGTACCTGAAAGGCAACTGTTTGGGAAGATGTGGGAGGGAACGCATGAACATTTGGGGAGGACCCCCGCCCCCCATTCTGAAGTTATAGGGCTGATATCGATCCTGCCGTTTTAGAATCAGCCGCCCACTGAGCCATGGTGCAGTTGATGGTGATTGTGAGGCTGAGTGGGACCTTTAGCTGTGGCCTTTGCTATGAATGCAGCCTGAAAGCATCAATCAGACCCAGAGAGGCTGCTCACAGAAGCCGGAGCATCCAGGGAGCTCGTGCATTTGTTCGGGTTGTTTGTCATCGTGGACTAGGACACGGTAACAACATTACACATATCAGATAAAGAAAAGTAAAGAGAAATAAATTCCACCTTTAATTTTTTAAAAAGCTTGTGTTCAATTATGGTAACTACCACGGTTTTCTCCAAAGTGGAAATAATTGGAAGCTTTAAGGTACGTCCTAACACTACTCTGAAATAATTGTGAATCACCGGTGACATTTAATATGTCAATATGCCTTTAAGGAGGCTAGTTTTGGAATGAGTTTTATGTTTATTAGAACTCTGAATCCTTTCAACTCTGGATTGAGACTTTGAATAATTACTTGGTGCCTTTTAGGTTGAATGGTGTTATTCTGGGGAAATTGATCGATTTCACTGGAATGATGTACAGATCCTGGTGCAGTTTGTAGTTATGATCACATGTTAATGGAAAGCCAATGATGTCTGGGGAGGCAGTGAAGGTCAGATAGAGAATAACTGGCTGATAGAGAATTATGTGGTCTGATGACTGGAATTGGTGAATGGTGAGCCCTGACTTCCCTGTCACTATTTAATCCCTTTGCAGTGACTGACCGCCTTGTGCTGCTTTTCCTCTTCATGTTGAGGTGACTAAAATGTTACGTCCTGTGAAAAATGCAATGTTTTAAATATTCCAGTAGACATCTGCTTCCTGGAACTAAAATTAGCTTTTGACATACGATAGAATCCTGAAAGCTAACAGTTTGATACTTTTGCTGTTTCTCATTGGCCTGGTCCATGACATGTCTATTTTCAGATTTACCTTTTTTCATATAGAGTCACAGCACTCTATATAAAGTCTCTTGCATTGTCATACTGTAAGCAGACCTGAGCGGTCCTGTTTGACCACTCCCTGTGCAGTACCATAAAACACTCATTTTTGTCAGCAAAATAGGTGACAAAAATAGAATCAGAATGTTTATTGTTCACCAGGTTTATAAGGAGTTCCTTTTGCTGCAGGTGTCAACTTAGTGTCATTCCAGTAAAGGTATATACAAGAGA